CCTGGGTATGATTATTTAATGTTGAGAAAACCTCCCTTCTGAATGAATCTTACATAACACCGGCACACCGCCAATGGTCCTCAAATTATTTTATTAAATTTAGTAACAGACCTGCAAGTACTTTTGTTATTCTCACATGCACAGATGAGAAAATGGATGCTCATCGTCTGATGCTTATGGAGTTTAAATTTCCAGCACCAGACTCACACCTCACCATGAGACCTAAGAACAGGGATGACTGGTAAGTGAGGGAGGAGTCCAGCCTGTGCCCCAAATTCCTTCCCTAAAATGTTCCTCTGAACACAGTGCCTCTTATACGCCAAGATGCCCCTTGCATAAACCTTTTAAGGAAAACATGGAAATGAAAGCAGAAGACTCATTACTAACTATGCTGGCACCTGGCAATGTCATAACATGAATTATACAATAAAGCGAGGCAATTATGCCAACATGATTAATCAAAACGACTAAGAATCTTATAATATTGTCATATATTAAAATTCATCCTACACGTGTCTAATTCCATTCTCAAAATTACACCAAGCCAGACTCATTCCTTGAGTATAAACTAGAAACATTTCCCCAGCCTCTCTCTTACCTTTTCTTCCTAGGTAGCAATCACAGAAAGGCTAATTTAAACATTAGATTATGCAGTTTACACAGATTTTCAGATCAATCTAATTTTATCACAACAGTGACCCTGAGAACGAAGAGTGTCAAGATGGAAATATCTTATTTTAAAGATGACACTGTTAAGCACAGAGAGTGTCCGTGGCTTGCTCAGTTTCATTAGGGGCATCCTGACCCTTCAATCCACATTCTGTGACCTGCTCCAAGTTGCTATAGAGCAAGAAAGGTATCTCTGTCAGCTGAAAGAGGCTCTATATTAAAAATATATTTTTTATTAATTTCTGAGAGGAAAGGAGAGAGAGAGAAATATCAATGATGAGAGGGAATCATTGATTGGCTGCCTCCTGCACTGGAAGACTGGAGCTTTGGAAGGCAGAGGGGAAGCTGCTTCTGGACCTGATCCATTAGGATCCGCCTGTGAACATTCCTCTTGTCTTTCTCTGAATGTCCATGGAGGCTGGGGGCTGGCTGTTCGCACTGCAGAAGCCACGTGCCCAGGGCAGCCTTGGGAATGCCCCCCCTTACTGTTTTTTTGTTTTGTTTTGTTTTGTTTTTTAATGTTTTTTGCTTACCAGATAATCATCTCTTCACTGACATAGACCATGCTGATTTGCACAGCATTCTCCCTAAGGACCAAGTCAATGAAAAGTTCTAGATACACAATTAACTTTCCTTTGTAATTTAGAGGGCACTATCCCATTTTTAGCCCCAATAATGCTATCATGTGTGAGGGCCTCAAAGTCACATAAAAAGGAAGAGAACACGGACTGGAAAACAAAAGCAACTTCAACAAAATCCTGTTTCTTTACTTCCATTAACACTATCACCTGTGTATGTGTGGACAGGGGTGGCCGGTAAATATCACGGGGACGAGAAAATGAATGACTTCTGTTTGGCTCTTTACATTGACCTCTGGTCCTCGCCATCACACTGAGTGATTAATACACCCTCCTCTTGTGTTTGCCAGAGTTTGAGGATCCGAGGTGAAAGGACTTCCCTAAAGAACGCGCAGCAAGCAAGAGGCGCACCCAGGACAGAAACCGGGGTCTCCCGCTGCCTGCACAGGACTCTGACCGCTTCTCAGGGCTTTCTGATAAATATGAGCCTTTTCGTGAAATGATGCTGCTCTCCTGTTCACAAAAAGATCACTTAGAAAATAAGATGGAATTACTTAAGTTTTTTGTGTTTTTTCTTTTTCCTTTTTTTTTTTTTTTATCTCTACAGGAAAAGCATAATCCAGAGACAGAATGTTATGCGTTTGCTTTATCTTAATATAACTTTTCTCAATGTAAATGATTAGTTATAATATCGTGATTCTATTTAAAAATGAAAAACAGAGCAGACGGTGTTCTAGCATAGGAAGTGTTTGGTCTGTTGTCTCTAAGTAAACATAAGTCAAGTCTACAGGCCATGATCTCCTTCAGTTATAATCCGAGTACACAGCCAGAGCTAAACAATAAATTGGTTCAGAGCTAAACAATAAATTGATTCTCTTGAATGCCTTGATTCCCTTACTACCTGTGATACAAAATAAAACCCGGCTTTGCGGAAGAAGTCAACTTTAGATTTTGAATTATTAACATAGAAAGAATTGTCTAACTCTACTACAATCCCAAAAGTCACTTTCCCCCAATTAATTAATTTGCTACCTCACTTCCTCAGTGTGAGAGGTTTAAAAATATCACAAACTGGCCTACCTTTTAATTCAGAACTTCGACGCATGATGAAGTGACAATCAGCAAATTTGTTATTCCTTGAATCTCCTTTTTTCCGTTTTCTTGTCCTTCTTTCTTCCTCTCCTTCCTGCCGCCTGCCTCCTTTTCCTTCTCTCCTCCTTCCTGTTTTTTGTGGGTTTTGTTGTTGTTGTTTTTAATTTATCTGAACTCTCTCAGGTTATTCCTTTTCGCCCTCTGATCACTCTGGCAGCTGGTCTGGAGATCAGACAAATTGCTTCTCTGAAAGCCAGCTTGCCTTCCCTGATGAGCCCTAATTTAGAATAGTTGCTGTTTTCACTTCATTCTCATTGAACCTTCAGAACAGGACTGTTTTATGAATTTAACAAAAGAAAACATAAGAGCAATTTATGTCATTAATTGCATCAGCCTTTTTAGGGAAACAGCTTAAGTATGAAGCATCAAAGACTTTTCTGAAAGTAATTGGAATGTTTCACAGGTTTGATTGAACTTACTTAGCCCCTAGGGAGATTCTTAATGGGTGATTAACAAATGTATTTCAGTTTGCCTTTTCTCCATTACCTAAAATTACTCTAGCGAGGAGTGTAATAGTTTTTCATTCAGGGAACCTCAAAGAGCTTTAATGATCTCATTCAATTCTAGAGTTATTAACAATGATATAGTATATTCCCTTCTTTAAAATCACGTGCGTACTTGACATTTTCATTAAAAAAAAAACCTACAGTGGGAAAGTTTGATACTTGATGTAATGCTAAAAACCTATGTTTATATCTCAGAAAGCACAGTTAAACAGCCAAAATAATTAAAAACAATCTCATTTCTCTACAAACTAGAACAGTGGTCGGCAAACTGCGGCTCTGTTGACTAATGAGTTTGCTGACCACTGGACTAGAAGATTCTAAATATCAGGCTCAGGCAGTTATTGCATGCCCCATGTTCTCTCGTCCACTTTGCTGTCTGAGGCCAGTCACTGCCTCCTGGTCCCCAGCAGCTCTTCCTTCATTCCCTTCCATACAGCAGGTCTTGTGCAATTGTGACTAAGCCTCTAGGAAATGTTCGCTGTTTTTGTGCCTGGTGCCGGGTCGTCTGAGTTCAGCAGGGTGGCCGTTTAGCAAGGAAGATGGACAAGAATGTGGAGACAGCAAGGACAACGTGGAAGCCAAGGGGATGCGCTGGAACCTGTGTTCGTTTCTCCCTGCCTCCAGCTTTGCTGGTTCCGGGGGCCTCAGGAGAAGGCAGTGAACTTACTGGGGAGCTAATATGCACCTGGCCTAGGAGTATGGGGCACTGAAGGGGGCCCCTGAGGGACTTAGGGGCCTACAGGCACTTCTGTCCTGTAAAGCAGATCATGGCTGCTTCTACACACTGTTTCCCAATCCTATGCAAAATGTCTTCTGTGGTCCATGACAAGAACAATGCAGGAAAGAGAATTTTGGGAAAATGTAGCTCTAGCATAGCTATGTGGGTGTAATATAAACCCCGTGTCGTGGTGGGAGGCAGGGACTTGATGGAAAAAACACAGGATAGTTGACACTTCTTTCTGCACTGGAGACATTAGCATGCTGTTCCTTTAGATGGAGTAAGGAGATATATTTATTGATACATCTTAAACACAGTGTATTAGAACTGCAACAAGGTAAGTATTCAACTTAAGTGCATAACAATCTGAGCTGCATGTTAAAAACAACACTTTTGATCCATCCATTATTTATACACAATCTGGCAAAGGTGGGCCTATATCTTTTCTTGCTTTCAACTAACTTTATGATTCGGTAAAAACTGTCAATAAGGCCCAGCCAGCTTGGCTCAGTGGTTGAGCGTCGACCTTTGAATCATGGGGTCACAGTTCAATACCAGGTCAGGACACATGCCAGGGTTGAGGGAGAGTGGGGTCTATCCCCAGTAGGGGGTGTGCAGGAGGCAGCGGATCAATGATTCTCTTTCATCGTCGATGTTTGTTTCTCTCTCCCTCTACCTTACTCCCTGAAATCAATAACATATACCTTTTAAAAAAAACTCTCAGTACATTACCATGTAAAACAACCACATTATTATTGTTAATAAATATGCTATTAAGTATGTTATTATTTACCATGTTAATACATAATCTTGCAAAACCTTCTGATAAAAGTTTTACGTGACCAAAATGTACCATTTACAGCCAAGTTATTGCTCATTAGACATCTCTACAGCTGGGTAAGATTTTTTTTCTTTAAAAATATGCATGAATTAAATATTTTGCAAACTTGACACCAAAGAAATTTTCTCAACCTTCTCATTATTCAGAAAGTTATTCAATTAAAATCAACTAAATAAATTACAAATAAGAAAAAAATGATAAAAATCTCCCGGTGAAGATATGAATTGGAACCATTGATTGAGATTGTTTCCATATTACTGACATTTGTAATCTAGAACCTTAAACTTCAGTATATGCAATTCAATGTATAAATCATTATAGAATTCCATTGGACAACTTAGATGTTAAAATGGTTCAAAAACAAACATATAGTAAGTATGAAGGTTTTTAATGTGTTTATCCAGTGACTTTTAAATATTCTGTATTTTGGGGCAATATTCTTAATCTCTTAAATATTCATTAAACTAATTTTAATGGAGAAAAGTAATAAAAATCATTTTGCAGCAATTTCATAAATGTGAATGAAATATAATACGTTATAAAGCACAAGTGACTCCAGCATCTTCAGCATGCGTACAGGCTCTTACACCCCACTGTCGGATTTTACAGTCCTCGATAGATGATTCTCTCCCAAAGCAAAATATTTCATTCAGCCATATTGGACCAGTACCTACAGAAATCAGATACAATTGCATTATTAGAAAGTATAGTTTAGTTTTTATATTTGAATGAAACAAAGCCATTTATTTACTCACTAATTTAACAGAATGTGTTGATCATTAGGATTAAAAAAATCAGTACCCTGCCTCAGAAAACTTTATATTTTGTCAATGTGTAAAATACTAAAATCCAAAGAAAGGAATTCATTGCAAGAAAAGATAACTTTAATAAAGAAGGTTTTGAAATGTTTTCTAAAAAATTTTCTAAGTATTTCATTTATTAAAGTTCTCCTTTCTTTTAGGCTTATGACATCTAGAAACAGAATCTTTGAAAACTTCTAAATGAATGATTTAATTGGGCTTTGTGGAACATACAATATGGCTAATATCCTAATGAATTTTCAAGAACATTTCATGCCATCAGGAAACTGTTGATTTAGCAGCTAAATTTCAGCAAGCACCATTGCAAAACTGGTGGAGGGCTTTTTCATTTGGATCAATATGTTAAAAGGTCCTCTTTATATTACACCCACATAGCTATGCTAGAGCTACATTTTCTAAGTATATATGAAATGTACTTAGAAATACTAAATTCAACTTGCAAACAGGTCTTTGGGTCACTATAAAACAGAGTTAAATAAAACCTTGTTTTTCAGAGGCATATGAAAAGCACATACAATGGCATTATCCTTCCTGATTTTTCAAATATTCTGTTAGCTCCATAAGTTAACAAGATGTGCATGATTATTAATGTGTACAATATATAGTCATACGTATATATAATATAAGAATAAATTAGTAGATATTGGGAATTTTGTAATCACAATGTAGATAAAATTTAACCCAATCTTAAAAAGTGGATAGAGGTTTTCATGCATAAAATAGAAGTCATTCCATATAGTGGGGACAACATGACCATGCTGGCATCCAAACACAAAGTATATTAATGAGGAAGAAGGAAGGTGATAGGAAGCTAGGACCACACTATAAAATATTTTAAATTTTAAGTCACAACAAGAAATGACATAATCAGAACTACATTTTAGAACTGTGCCTACCATAAATGTGGAAGTTAAATTGAAAAGTCTATAACTTAATAGGATCTTGATGTAGACATTTTCTTTGATGACTCATGTTTTTATTTACTTGTTGAATTAGACAAGAAATTTTGATTTTCACATGTAACATAAATTGGTTCAATCACTTAATTTTTGTATAATTTTTGCCTTCACTAGAAAGATCCAAATACAAGACGAAATTATATTTTGGTTTACATTACTGAAGGAACTAGGAACATTGTATTTTTCATTTAATATAAGAGAAATGAAATCATTAGGATTCAAACCATTTATTGGAAAAGCAAAGGCTATCCTGGACTGGTCAATTGTAAAAGGGGGACCTGGAGAGCTAATGTAAGCTTGAAATGTTCATACCAGGATTATCTGTTTTTAGAAACCACAGCAGAGGAATCCATGAATGTTAAAATACCATTCTGGGGTCTTAAGAATGAATATCTCAGCCTACTTTTGGAAGACTTTATAATGTAGGCAGAAACACTCAAAGTACTTTTGATCTGTTATCTCATTGAATCCTCAAATAACCTTAAAAAGTTAAGTGCTTCTATGTGCCATTTTACTGGAGAGGAAAGTAAAAATCGGAGACAACAGGTAACGCTGGTCAAGGTCACATGGCTAATGCCTGGTGGAGCATTCCCTGGCATCAGTCTAGAGCCAGGTTTCAATCAGTGATTCACTGCAATGCTCTGCATTATTCATTGGGTTGTTCAGCAGATGTTTTGAGCATCTACATGAGTGAACAAAATCAAAATCCATTTCCTCTTGACCTGACTTCCTAGGGAGGACTTCTGCTTTAGGCAAATGGAGCAACTGGCTTCATGTATGTAATTAGTGGCAGAGCTGACCCTGGCATGTAGAACTCCTAACTCTGACCCCACTGATGTGAAAATCAGATTGTGCTGTCGGATAATCGGGTCTTTTCTATGTGGAAAAGACTCAGACCCAGTGAACATACTAAGCCTTTTCACATATGATTTTTTAAAAATTTACTCTTCTAATAATGTTGTAAAATAATGGTAATTATCTCCATATCATGGGTTGATAAACAGACTCAGAAAGGATGTTTGGATTTCTCAAGGAGAACAGAGCCAGCAACAGAACATAATGCCCTTTATAGCTTAGTGATATTTATTGACTACATAGGAGCCCAAATAAGAGTTATAAAAGTAATGTTCAAAGATTTGTCATTTTATTTTTATATTAATATATTCAGGACTATTGAGCCTAAGGGAAAAATTTACTTAATGCACATTTCCCATATCCTTCCAAATTGGTTTCTGCATTAAAAATTAATGCTAAGGTGGCATAAAATTAATACGATTTTATCTTCATCTGAACCTCAAAGATAAAAAAGCGAATTTGTTTTAATTTCTTCAGGTAATAACTGTTACTCGAGGATTTTGTTGCGGCTGGTGTCGTTTTTATTTTTTTGCCTCAAAACTATTCTTTCTTTTTCGTGGGAACTTATGCAAAATTGATGAGGATGTTATAGATGTTTTCATTCTCTAATCCTATCTATCATCTATCTATCTATCTATCTATCTATCTATCTATCTATCTATCTATCTATCTATCTGTCATCCACCTAATCCTCTGCACAGCTTCAATTCCTTTAATATTTGAGGGCTGCGCCGGGACAAACTGACTT